TGATCTTCTGTTGTATTGTGATCAATTATTAATTTTGACACAGTCATTTGACTCTTATAATTAACAAAGACTAACTAACAAAACTTTAATTGTATTTGTTCATTATACACATATCACGCACTCTTTCAGTCTTACAAAAATTTTATATAAATATTAATTATGAGAAAACTTTGTACACAAAAAATCAACAATGATGACAGCGACCACCGTTAAAAACACTTATTTTTATTTCCACTATTTTAGATGTAGCTCTGATAGATAAGTATTGTATTTACCAAATTCACTCTAACTGTTTAAAGATATTTTGGTTTTTTACAAAACTTATGTAAGTAATTTACTTGTACAAATTTAAAAAAGGATTACGGCAAGTCAGTGACAGAAATATATGGTTTTCTTAAAATCTTAATAATTATCTCTCGTACCTGTAGTGATAGGTCATCCATGTACCTTATGAGAAAAGTAGAAGCAATGTTATCAATCTTTATTGATAAAATTTAAACTTGATATCATCAGAAAGCATGTAGAAGCATGTGTGCAAGTGTGAAAGCCTGTATATGCTTGTGAATGCATATGTAAACACGTGTGTGGGAGATGAAGTTGAAGCATGTGAAAGCAGGTATGTGTACTATGCAAGTGATAACACATATGTGCATTACGTATATTCGTTGTGCACGTTTGGCTGTCTAGATTGTAATTTCGTCCTTATACATCATCAGAATAACTGTTCTCATGAATATTGTTATGTGGACGGATTGTGCTTTTATTACGAATAACATAAATATAAATTTCATAAACATAGCACAATTTTTTAACACTCTCATCTACAATTTGTTCACACCGCAGAATTTTTGTCAAATAACTGCTGCATTGAGCACTACCTCTGACTCAGCTCAGAGCAAATAGAACAGGAATATATGTATAATATGAGTTGACAATAATGATTTTCAAGGTTAAATAAAAAAATCCTTATTGTGTTTTTTATATGGAAAACATATAATGTAGTCTGACACTTTTATAGAATTTTTGTTTTGTTTTTTTTTTTAATGTTTGCCTTTTTTCCCTCTTTGTGATGGTATATTTTTTATCAGTAGGTTGTGATTATGATATACTATGGATTTAAATGTTGAAATATGGGAACCAGCTTAAGCAAAGCATTATCTTAGGAATTCTAAAGTCTAGTCTATTATAGATGACATATTTTGTTATTTTAATCATCTTGAAATTTTTTGGAAAATTATTATNCAGTTGGGCAGATTTGGTGTCTGCTTAATACATTCACAGAGTGCGAGATGTCTGGTCTGACTGTGTTAGCCAGATACAGCAGGCTTCCAACTGCTTTTCTGTGAGGTACATTTTCTTCAGTTTTAGTTTTGTTCAGTTCTCCAGTTTCTTCCGATTCTTATCTGTCTTTTTCTGACGATCTGTCAAAATTAAAGCAGTGTGTGGCAAAAACATATATAAAAGTTGTTGTATAAGTGGTTGTCACGATAAATCTGCGAAATGTTGTTGTCTTTTCAAAGATAAAGAAATGATTTCATTTCGTTCCTCTGCACTGATACTTTTGTATTTTTTATTGTCCGGAGAAATCACAGATGGAATACGAAAAAAAAATTATTCGAGAAGATTTAATAACTGCTCTCTTATTTATTTTCTGAACTGCAATCCAGTTTTAGGAGATTTCAGCAAAAAATAGAAAATATTAGGTAACACAAAAAAAAAAAATTTCGTTCCTTTTGAGAACGTAATAACATATATATAATATGTGCATATGAATTTTTTCCATATTCAAAAATAAAGTATCCAAGAACAGCGACAGAAGGAGATCAAATATAAAGTAAGTCTATGCTGTACATATTTTAAATATATTTATTAGTGTCCAGGGGCCGCCCAGGCGGGGGGGGCAGGGAGGGCTCGAGCCCCCCCAACTTCCAAACTGGGGGGCGCAGCCCCCCCCCCCAGTTTCCGACACAAATGACAAAAAAATATTTGATTGCTCGCGAGCAAAATGACAAAAAAAGACAGATAGTCATGCTCAAATTTTGCTTTAGTTCATAACTTTATGCATCAAATAAAAAAAAAGCGAATTAAAGGGTACGTTCAATTTGCATCGTACAAATAAATCCCAAGCGCTCAATGCTTTGTAACCCAACCGATCGAGTACCTGCCCTATTAAATAATTTCTTATTAGGAAAATAAATCCCAAGCGCTCAATGCTGTGTAACTCAACTGGTCGAGTGCCTGAACTGTTAAACAATTGATAAATAAATAAATCCCAAGAGCTCAATAATTTGTAACCCAACTAATCGAGTACCTGCACTATAAAATAATTTATTATGAAATAGATAAATCCCAAGCGCTCAATGCTTTGTTACCCAACTGATCGAGTACCTGCACTATAAAATAATTTATTATTAAATAGATAAATCCCAAGCGCTCAATGCTTTGTTACCCAATTGATCGAGTACCTGCACTATAGAATAATTTATTATTCAAAAGAGATAAATCCCAAGCTCTCAATGCTTTAAAAACTAGACGGATCGAGTGCCTGAACTATTGAATAATAATGAATTAAATAAATCCCTTGCTCTCAAAGCTTTCCCAGCTAAAAATATTTGTCAAGATCTTGTATAAGAACTTACCCAAGAACTTAGATAAGAACTTACATAAGATCTTGTATAAGAACTTGCTGCAGAACTTATACTTGCTTTTCAACCAAGAACTTACCTAAGAACTTTGATAAGAACTTATTTAAGTTCNGCAGGAGCTGATAGGATTGGAACACTTAATCAGCTTAATACTGTCATACATTCTGTTGCCTGCGGACCTTTGGTGTGACAACAAAGCCGCCGGAGCAAGTGCTAATGTAGATGGTGGCAAAAGACTGAGACACATGACCGAGATCAATACTCACTGCGTTAAGGAATGTGTATCCAGAGGAAAAATAATCGTTAAATGGATTACATTCAAGGAACAACTAGCAGACATTTTTACAAAACCCCTGCCGTTTGAACTGCATGAAAGACTAACGAAAGAAATTTTAATGGTAATCAGTGTATATTGCATGATAATTAAACTTGAACTTGAGATAGTAAAACTAATAAATTGATAATAGATAGATGATGATAGTAGACATGCCGATTAATGTATCTCTCTGTGTATGTTTTAGCTCGTCACAACCAACCCCAACGTGTGATCAAGAAGCCGACCTATTTCACATCTTCAGCTGATTACTTATTCATCTAAATATGATGACTCATGGCAGTGTTGATAATCCAATATGTCTTTCCTTTTTTCATTTTATGTTGTTTTGTTAAATTCAGATACAAACAAAAGGGAGTGTTAGATGTATATTTGGCGCTCGTAACTGAATTCTAACGCATGCGCAATAGCAAGAAGATGAGACACCGTGACGCTACACTTCAGCGTCTAATGCTTATAGTTTACCCACTCTCGCGCGGTCACTCAGTCTGTCGATACGCACTCCCTGCTTTTCGTATTTTCCCTTTGATTTGATCGTGCTTTATTTCAGTTCAGCTTACGATTGTATCCTTGATTGTAAAGACTAAAGATAGCATACACTGAAGATAGTGAGAATAAAAGTTTCCGTGTTTTATAATAAAAACGACAGTGTTGTACATTTTATTGCCCGATCACATACCCACACATCCATACTGCTAACAAAAAAAAAATTTTTTTATTTACCTTACGTTGTTTTTGCATAGTTTTATTTTTATCAGCTACGCTATTTTCATGTCACCGACGTTTGTTGAATTTATTATCTGTTTAATTTGTACTTGGTACCTTACAGGCATTCCACGGTCCATTCCTGACAACCAGAACCTAAGGAAGCCTGAACCTGCCCCCAGAAACGCACCTAGTAACAGTTTGTATACTGCCCGGAAAGACTGCCGGAAGAGGTACGGAGCCCAAGCTTAAGGCTTAAGGCACTAGAGCTGGTCCTGCTACCTGCCAGAATGTGTATTTCTATTCCTGTACAGGTGGTACTTCGTACTACTTGTTTTATCTTGCACCGTGATGCAAGCAAACGTTGGTATGAGTATTATAACGTCTGACCACAAAGTAAGAGAGAAGGAGATGAAGAAACTCCATGCACTAAAAGTGGGCATACCATAGACATATAAAAAAATAGACTGCTCGATCTTGTGTTTGGCGCTGAAGCACAAGTAGAAAGAGACACAACGTGTCTATCTGTATTTCCCGCACGATGCCAACGGTTGAGACTGGGGAGGTTGTATCAGCTGGCCCTAATTTACTGACCCCATAGACATATAAGCAAAATAGACTGCTCGTTCTGATGTACGGTGCTGAACTGAAGCACAAGTAGAAAAAGATAACATTGAAAGTGGATATCTGTCTCTCTCGCACATTTCCACCTTTGACAATGTACGAGACAGACAAATATCCACGTTCGATGTTGTATTTCTTTCGCACATTTCTACCTTTGGGAATGTGCGAGAGAGACAGATCTCCATGTTCGATGTTGTGTCTCCTTCTACTTGTGCTTCATCGCCGTACATGCGAACGAGTAGTCTATTTTTCTTATGTGTCTATGACTGATTCCACCGTTGGCAACGTGTAAGAGAGACAGACATACACGTTCGATGTTGTGTCTCCTACTATTTGTGCTTCAGCACCATACAGTACAAAAGAATGAGCAGTCTTTTTTATATGTCTATGGTACACACTTCTGACAGAGATCATAAGGCATAAGGTATTCTCACTTTTTACGTCATACCAATATGGCGCGATCACTGGATTTTTTTTTAAAATTTGGACCAAATGTGCAAAACCAGCTGTGAAATTCACGAGGACGTCCCAACTAATGATAATGCGATTGAAAACTTCAGGTTTTTATAAGCTATCGAATGAACACTAAATTTTTTACATCTTCACTTGGTAAGGTAAAGTACCCAGTAGTTTGACACTTTTGACAGTCAAAATTTTCTTTGCTAATGTATAAAAAACTAAAAAAAAATGGTGTTCAAAAAAATAAGCTGACATCCCCGACACGCGTAGTAAATCCCGGCGCAAGGCGAAGTGCAAGCGTATCGCGGCGTGAGTGCGTGAAACTCTGAGCCATCGAGACGCAGACTGACCCACTAGCTGCTTCGTTACCATCAAACGAAGGGAGGTGGTGTCTCTCTTCTCCTGGAACAATTTACGAAGACATGATGGAGGACAAAGGTATAGTCGAGGAGTCTACCCTCGAGAGCGAGATCGACGCACTCTCCAAGATGATCACCGACACTAAAGACGTTCCCTCCAGGTTGGTTGGAAGCGACCAAGATTTCAAGCTGGACTCCTATGATTTTTCCGACACTGGACTTCAGGACGACGAGCTTGGTATCAAGGATATTTTGGACAGCTCCGGGGAGATGGACAGCTTCATGTCTGCTACCGACAACAGCTTAAGAGACGCGCCAGGGGGTGAGTTGGTCACTTGTTTAAATTTTTTGCCTTTTTTCTTTTCAATTATATTTGGCAAGGTTTGTACTTTGCTGACAAATATTTAAGTATGTTATCCGACTAGATCTATCAGAAATAACTGGTCTACTTAGAATACTAAGTGTTACATAAATATTACGTGAATGAGAAGTTAGTTGCAGTCGTTTGATAATAAATTTATCTATTTCAGAAGTTTCAAATGTAAATGAAACCGAGCTGCAAACTGGTGAAATGAACGAGACGAAGGTGCAGCAACTAGAAACAGACGCCAAGACAGTGGAGCTCGACGATACTTTGAGTGAGAATAGTCAGGGTGAGCCTGCAATCAATGAGGAAACATTAAATGCAAATAATAGTTTATCACTGATAAGTGATGCTTACACGTCACAAGAATCTCAAAGTTGCTTGGACCGTCCTTCTGCAACGGTAGTGGAAAATATTCAATCAGAATCCCAAAAAAAAAACAAAGAAGTCAAAGTTGCTGAGGTATTGGAAAATACCGAAAGTATTAGTGTCAGTATTGAAAATCCAAGTGAAAGTGGAGTACAGTTGAATATTGAAGATGAATCTGTACATGAGATCCAACGAAATGATGCTGGCCGTTTAACACCTGTGATAGGCACTGAAAATTCTGAAAATACAAATCAACGTTCAAAAGACACTAATATAAGTAGTGTTTGTTCCGAAGCATCAGTTCCTAATTTGAATCCTAAAAAAACAGATGAAACAACCGAAAAAAATTGTAATTCTGAGGTAGAGAAGTTACACAATCTTCAGTCCCAAAAAGATCTTGAAGATGAGGTTGAATCTAAAGCGATAGATGATGATACAGCTAAGAATTTAAAATCAGAATTAGAATCTGAAACAAGTGTAGTTGAACATACTAAGCTTTCAGAAAATGTTAATGCTAACCCAATAGTTGACAGTAAAGAAAAAAATTCTATGACTCGTGTGACTGAGAATGTAAGAACTAGTGAGGATGCCAAAGATCTCGAGGAATGCGGATCACCCAAAAAAATTGATTCCCAAGATAATCAAAGAGTTGAAAATTCTCAGTCTTCATTAGCATGTACTCATTCTGAGCCTCATGAACGGAATATCGATTCTGATAATACTGAAATTCTTCAAGAAGAAGCTAATTCACCAGAGCAGTTATTTGGCAGTGAAAAAGAAACAGAGAAAGAACACAATATTAAAGAAAGTAATATAGATACAAAGGAATCTAGTCAATTGTTGAAAGAGACAAAAGATTCTGTTGTAGAAAGTGTAAATAACGATAAGAGTACTAACGAAAGTGTTACTGAGACCAAGGGTGATCTAATTACAGCTGTTGAGCAATTTACTGAATCTAGAGAAAAACCAATGTCAGAATCCACTAGTGTCTTTACAATAGATTCTGGGAATTCAGGTGATGTAAATATCGAGCCATTTGCTGAAAGTATTGTTGAAAAAGAACTGATTGTTGATACTCAAAATTCTACAGCAAAATGTATCGATAAAGAAAATGCACAAGAATCCAGTAATATTGAGCCTTTAAAAGTTTCAGAATATGTGATAAACACTGTTGACGGTGTAAGTGATGACAATTTTCCAGACAGCAAATCCCCTTCTGTTGCCACTGATTTTGAATTGGCATTTGATCAAGAAGAAGAAGAAGGAGAAGAAGCTGAAAATGGAGAAAATCTAAAAGAATCGACAGATGGTATTCAAAATAATCAGTCTCAAAACATTTGCGAAAAAAAAGAGAATAGCGAAAATGAATTGGAGAGCATTGAAAATTTAGAAATTCATAGTGAAAATATTCCTGGTAGTGAAAGTTCACAAGTAAGTGAATTAGTTTCTGAAATACCGGAAGGTATAGATGAAACGTACGAAGAAACTATTGAATATGACAGGAATGATACAGTTTCTGAAGGTATAAATAAAAGAAAACAAGAAAACGAAGTATTACTAGATGACACTGTCGAAAGTAAACTGGAACAAGCGAGAAAAATAGAAACATCTTCTTTAGAGGCTTACAGTTCTGAAACTGAAATTAATGCTCAAGAAATCTTAGACACTGAAAAAAATGAAGATGAATCAGAAACGGATATTATGTATGAAGATTTCCAAACAGATGAAAATTTGGATCAAATGGAAGATTTTAGTCAGTTGATAGAGCCAGAAATTATTACTAACATGAATTATCAGAGAAATGCTGAAAAAGAAGGAGATAGTGTCTCTGATAGTGTAATTGATGAAAAAAGTAGTGAAATCAGTTTTGAAAAAGAATCAGAAATAAGAGATTCAACATTAGAAAGTGAGGAAAATTTTGAAGAAACAGAAGCACTTGAAAATGATGGAGGAGAAAACCAAGAAACAGTTGAAACTATGATTGAGACCTCTGAGTCTGAAACAGCTGTCAAATTTCTACAAGAATCCGAAGAAAACATCGAAAACACCAAGATGGAACAAAAAACGACTGGCGAGGGAAATTCTAGTGAATTTATTTCAGTTGATGATAACACATTATGTGATAATGCTTCAGACTTGGCATCTGAAATAAATTTAGATCCAATAGCCATATCTGAAGCTGAAATCATATCTGAAGCTGCCAAATTGGAAAGTGAAAAGAAAAAAAGATTAGAACTGCAGCAGCAGCAGCTTAAAAATACAGAAGTAGAAGAATCGATGCAAGCAAGTGACTTCGGTGTGTCTGATAATTTGATNATATATTAACGAACATAAATAAAAGAAATGAATACAGAATGATACATTAAATAAAAAAATTTAAAAAAATATCTACCATGAAGTGGATTTGAACCCTTAAGTGCAAAACAATCTACGCAGGGGCATAAGCCTTAACCATCTTAGCTATCCGAAGAACGAAAGATATCACTTTCGAAGTCACATGTGTTCATGGATATCCTCCGGAGCTTGTCCTACAGTTTACAGCAGCTAGGATGTGTGAAATCAATAAATTAGTGGTCAAAGCTGCACTGAAAACCTTAAAAAATAGTTGAAGCTATATATTTTTTGAAAATATAAATGGATTTGGGAATGTTAAGAGTACGGAAGAGTTAAAAAATAATGTATTGAAACCAAAATGCTGTGTATATAATTAATGAGCATTTAGTTCCACAATTTAATTAGATAAGATTTATAGATAACATTGAAGCCGGAGCGAGAGCAAGTCAGTTAAATATATACATAGCATGTACTCGGTTGCAGAGTCAAAAGACTCTCAAATAAGAAAAACTCGTGTCGTCGATTGCTTTGGCTGTGCGCTCAGATATATACAGCTATGTAGCCGACATTTCCACTTCTCTCCTTGTAGGCGCACATTCGGTATACCCCTTCCACGCGTCTCCAAAATGTGCGCCTATATGGACATTTCCACGCGAATCCACTTTTCTTATACCCCTACCGTGCTTCTCAAATAAAAAAAAAAGTGTGCGCCTGCTTCGGCCGCTTGGCCGCGGCGGGGCGCTCGAACTACTGGAAAAAAGTGGGCACACTCCGTAGCATGTCAGTCAGCAATCTCCCTACTAATCTCTGTCTTTAGTCATCAATTGGGCAGATTTGGTGTCTGCTTAATACATTCACAGAGTGCGAGATGTCTGGTCTGTCTATGTTAGCCAGATACAGCAGGCTTCCAACTGCTTCTCTGTGGGGTACATTTTCTTCAGTTTTAGTTCTATTGTTCAGTTCTCCAGTTTCTTCCGATTCTTATCTGTCTTTTCTTTGCCGATTCAGGGCTTGATTTGTCACCATTGGTGTTCTTTGTGGTTTTGAGTCAGTAAATCCAAACCTTTCCAGAACTTTGTCGAAGTATGGTGTTTGCGTAAGTGAAATTAAATTATGTTTTTCATCTCTTTTTACTGTAATAACTAGGAAAGTGCCAACCTCGCCAAGATCTGATATCTCAAAGTCAGACTGCAGATCAATCTTAATTTCTTTTGGTTTACTTATCAATTTCTTGCTATCATGATATTATCTTCATATGGAATCAAGATTAAAAGGCTAACTTTTTCTTTCCATGCGTAAAGGCAAGTTTCACTGGTGTGCGTTTGTGATACTAGTTTCAGTGCAGCACCACACGAAAACACTTGTTCCATTTCTTCAAGCTGATCTTGAGTCTATAAAGGGCTTTTTCTAGATTACATACTTTACTTTTCTTAAGTTAATCTTCGTCAAGCAGACCTTCAGGAAACTCTATATTTATTTCTTCCTTGATTGAAACATTCATGAATGCTGTCTTGACATCCAGCAGACAAGTTTCTAAGTTAAATTTATTGAAAGTTGATATTACCGATCTCACAAGAGCAAACCCAGATACAGGAGCATAAGTCTCTTGCAAGTCGTACTTATTCCTATCTTTAAACCCACGAATCACCAACCTCACTTTAAACGTCGCGGTTCCCATATTCGTCTATCTTCTTCTTTAGGACTCGTCTGGAATCTATGAACAATATTTAATAAGCTAAAGAAAAAAGTTACTGTACAAATAACTTGATTATAAAAGTAAGATAATTTTAAATCGTTAATCAATGAACCATTTTTTTATGCTGCTAAGATATAGTTACAATCAAGTCGGAATTTCTCTTTCTCCCATTTGCGTTTTTTAAGCAAAACTTTTATATGCTCGTTATGCGTCGTGGTTTGCAACTTATATTTAATATAAGTAGTAATCATTTATTGATGCATTTTTTTTTTAATATTTGACTTCTTATGCACATAAACAAACTATTCTTTTAATTTATGAGTTTCCTTAAAAACTTTAAAACAATATTTTTTACAAGCATCTTTCTATCGAAAAATAAATATTTATTTGATTTTAAATAAATCAACATCGTTATAATAAATCAATAATTGTTTATTTAATTTTTTTAGGCTTTTTTTATATTTCAAGCAATGTTTAACCTTATTTTTTTAAACCTTATTATTGGCTTATTGATACGAGTATCTATAGATACATTTTTTAGTTTTCATTGCGTCTTTCTCTCTCAAAATTTTTTCAATATAATTTAACTGTATCCAACTTTCGAATATTCTTATTCCAACGATAACTGCACCACCCTCGATGTATCACAGTTAGTTACTTAAAATATAGTTTTATAAGAACTATTTCCACATCCATATACTGTCTGCTAAATAAGCGTAAGTTTATATTTGTTTTACTTTATAAAATTTTTTGATCTATTATTATAAATCTGTTTTTACGAACAACAGTAGTCTTTACTTTACACATTTTTGTCTCAATTTCTATGGCTTAATCAATGATTTTTAAAGCTCCATAAGATTTAATTTAAGTTTATAACTTTTGGTAATTTCTAGTAGCTATGTGAATGTGCTGGTATCCATAGAATTCTTTATGCGTTACACAGCAATTTATTTAGAATTCTCTGTCTCACGTTTCATTTAAATATTACTTTATTTCAGTATTTTTATAGCATTTTTTTTAAAACCTTAGTAAATTAAACGTGTGAAAAATTGTTTCAGAATATTATTTGACAACGTCAAGGAAACAAGAAAACGGCAGGAATTAAAAAAAAACCTGGAAAAGGGAGTCAGGTGACTGCATTAACTTCCTAATTAAACCAGAACTGGAAGCCCAGAAATTGAAATGCAAAGGTATAATGGATAAGTACAAAAAATAAAATTTATTATTTAAACTGAATAATTATTATTTTATAGATAACTCTGAAGAAAATGAAGATAGTGGCAGTGATCAAAGTAGTTCTAGCGGTAGTTCCAGCTCGGAAGACAGTGATTCTTGCGAGTAGAAATAACATTAATCTCTCGTACAGTTTATATGTAAACTATTCCTTTTGTGATAACGTTACATGAAATGCAATAACGTTGTAAAATGCATTGTTAACACTCAATAAAATATTGATAGTATAATTTGTATACTTTCAAGGTTATCATTGATAGCGTAGAAGCAGTTTTAATCCCTAGCTCTATTTTTTTTTCTTTTTTCAGGCAATCGTCCCTACTGTTGAACATGCTTCGATTGTCAGATTAACTAACCCGAAAAATATGTATATCATAAATCTTACTATTATGTAAAAGTAATAGTTTGTAAGTATAAACATACATATATGCATATATGTCTACAAAAATCTCAAGAACTATTAAGCCATTCGTTCCCAATTTAAATCAAGGTAGAAGTTTAAATAAAAGTTCTACAATACTCTACACTATAAAAATTCGTTGTAAGTTTCGTAGAAACGTTTATACAATAAACATGGGCACCTACTTAAGTAATGTTAAGAATTAAAAATTAATTGTACACCTTTGCATAGTGCAATGGAAATATCTAGAATTAATCTGATTATCTCATATCATCATTATATTATATAAAGCAAATTTCCAAAAACGTTGTAATCACTAACCACGAAAACTACTTAACCAATTTTGCTGAAATTTTGCATACTAATGCTTGAAAATTTCTAGATTGGTTTTACATTTCTTTTCTCAAAAAAATTAATAACTACAGAAATTAATAAGCACAAAGTTTTGCAAAAAAACGCTACCTTTGCGCTTCAGTTCAGAAGGATTCGCTAGGTGTAGTCGAAGTAAAATTAAAGCCACCTAAAATTGAAGTAAGTGAGTCTGGTAATAATATTTCCGAGTAGAATTTTAATCACATAGTCGTTCAGTACGTTAAAAACAGAGCTGTTAGGCATGCAGCTGGGTATCCCGGCTCCCAACAACACTCAATAGTCAGCAACTAACACCAATTTCCACCCTGGATCGCCAAGATAACCGAGTGCTACGAAAAAAAGGCTTTCTGTACCCAGCATAATACCTAGAGATAACTGACCAGATCACTACCAGCTCCATTGCTTGAAGGTGTTGTGGCTGTTCTTTCATATAAACGATTTCTATCTTATTACGTGCTATAACACTTTCGTAGTTACTTAAAATTTTCATTAAATTTTAATAACAGTCTGTATTTAATCAATATTCCTATAAATAGGCCACTAAATCAACATCTTATGGATACTAATTTTTAAACTTATAAATATATATAAATTTATATGAATTTTATAAAAATTCATTGGCTGTGTACGGCCGATAGCTACGTGCATGCTGTCCACAGTAAATAATTCCATGATTATACGAGTATTTGCAATAAAACTATAGTATAAAAACCATGCGGTTTCGTAAAACTTATGGATTTAATAAAGCCACGTGGCTTTTTTAGCAAAACCGCATGGTTTTTTTTTTTAAAACTTCATGGTTATAAAAAACCACGTGGTTCAGAAAACGTGGTTTGTTGTTGCTTGTACTCTGACCATCTTGCACTAGTGTCACTATCCAATAATGACTCTGTAGGCATCGGAAATTAACGTCTCGTTAGAGCGTGGGTCAAATATATCTATCTTAAGGTTATCTAAATAGATCTTGCATATATCATTTGCATCGTAAATATCATTGCATCTATTAACAAGCTGACAAAGCGACATCAAGTTTCCAGCGAGCATATTGGTGCATATCACTCTATCTAGGACCATTTTGTTTTTGTTATTACGACCCAAAATCCACCTTTCTCCCTCCACTCTCAAGTTCACGGAGGATTTTTTATTCGCGTATTTAACCAATTTTCTTTCATAAATTTTTGGTTCCCTCCGTGCGCGTAGAAAGCAAAGTTTCGGGTCCAACAACAAATATACTACTCGATGCATTCGATCTAAGCAATTCTATAGTACTTTAACCTTCTTTATACTTGA